TTTGTTTTAGTTGACAACGTTTCATAACAGATTGAGGAAGATCTTTTCGTGATGTTATTGACTGACAAACCTTTTTTAACTCTTTGTGTTTCGCTTCGTATTTAAAAGCACTTATAAGTATAGGCGGCCCAATTTTTTTTATAATTGTAGGGTAATGAATAAGGAAATGATGTTTGGGTTTTAATTTACTTTGAAATAAATTAAGGTATTGCTGGTGATGTTCTTCAATAATACTTTTTAAGTAATCTATTAGGTCTGAAGTAAACGAATGTGAAGTGAGAACATTTGTTATTTCCAATAATATTAAATAATAGTTCCAAACGGGGTCGTTATTTTCAACTAAATCTCCAACCACAAAAGCAAAATTTCTTGTAAGGCATAACATTTCAGAAGCAGATATAGTTAAACTTTTGTTTAATAAGTGTTGATTATTGATTGGTGGTGGTGTGTTTTTCTCATTAGTATTGTACTTAAAGTACTTTATCCTAGAATTCAGATGATCTAGTGAGAAATATCCTTTATCTATTAGACTTCTAATTACAAGGGCCATTCCATACCTTAGTACCCCTTCCGTAAGATCATGCATCACATCACATGTAACATTATTGTAAATATGAAAATATTTCAAATTATTCCAAACACATATTTCTTTAATTCCTATACGATTTTCAACATGTTGATTGTATTCAGAAGGCATTCGTAGATTATTTAATTCACACGATTGGGTTTCAGATTCAGTTTTGGTAGTCAAACAAAACCTGCAGAAATATGTAGCCATAAAGCTTTCGAAAAGTCCTAATATGCCGTGGAGTCCTAAGTTATCTCCAGATAAAGTTATTAATACAAATTTTACTGTAATGATATTTTTGGACAATAAAACACCAACGCCAACTTCTTCTAAAAACTTAAGTTCTTCAATTAATTTGTTAAAAATTGCCCCATTGCCAAAAAATACTCTGTCCTTTGAATAAAATACTTGAGTCACAAAAATATTTTCTAACCTACTTGATTGTTCTGGCGGAATAGTTGCAATAGAAATATAAACTGCACCTAACTTATATTCGCCAGCGTGGCTTCCTAGGGCATTGCCACTTTCAAAATCATCAAAATACAAAATTAAAGGGATAACGATACTATCTTTGTCTATATTAGCCGAAAGTTCTTTCCACAACGATCCTTGAATCACATTTCGAATCACATCACCGTTACTTACATTACTCTCGTCCAAAAGCATCTGTTGATAATTAAGAATGTGAGAAAGTACTCCAGGTAAGTTTAAAAAATTGCTTAATGTTTGTCTAAGTGGTGTCATATAAAGTTTTCAGCATCATTGTTACATCATTATTTTCATTACGTCGATCTTTGACAGTTCCGATCTTTACTTCTACAGGGGCTACATAATACTCATTGTCAACTAAATTTTTCAAGCGCTTATATTCTGTATCGTAGTCTTTAAATATGTCTGGTAATGCTAATATCATTTCTATTACAATAATGTTTCTTTTAGTGGCATCTATATGTTCGTTATTAACTGTTTCGTGTATATTTGAAGTGATGTTGTGGATTAAGGTTTGAACTAATTCTATCAAAGTTTGTATTAAAGATCTTGGTAAACTAACAAACCCATATAAATTGCATACAAATATATTTAAGTATGATTTTACAGATTTTATAAAAGATTCATTTCCAGTGTCTTTATCATTCGACGGTGATGTGTCAAAAGATTGGTGTGTATCATTGGTACTTGGAAATGAACTTTGTTCGGACAGGATGGAGTTACTGATATTAATACTATTGTCACAAGAAGTACTATTCCTATTGCGATTTGAATTGTAACACGTTGTTAAATGATTTTTAAAACGATTTTTTTTATCATATGTTCTTTTACAACTCTCAAAAGGGCAGACAAAATAGTTACCTATTTTATGGATAGTTTCTAAATGAAAAATGTATTGCTTAAAATCATGAAGTATTTTGTGACAGTAATTACAGTTCAAATCCATTTTGACAATAAGCGAAACACAGAGAGTTTTAGTCGGAGATTGATCAGGTTAACAATATTGTAAATATCACTTGTAGCAATTATTGTTGCATAAATTGTCGTAACTGAGTTAGAAGTGGTAAGAAAATTCTTTCTAATTGAAAGTCTGTGTATAAACTGTTTTTTTTTTTCAAAGAATAGCATTAACAACTCAATTGGGAGTGGGCCCTGCTCTGATTGAGTTTATGAAACCTTGAAAGTGGTGTTTAGCTAAATCACATATTCAAAACGTCAATTATATACGGTACGACGTTATCGTACTTAGTTTCTATATTATATACACATCTTTGTATGATCAAATATAAATGGTCGCCTGCTCTGGGATATCTAACGTTGAAGGTATGGTAAAGTTTAAAAAGAGTATCAAAAGCTTTTGTTATGGTTAAAAATTGATATCTTACATCATCTACTATTAGTAACGGTGAACCACACTCTAGCAAAGATCCCTGGAGTATAACATAGGGTTGAACAGACAATTTCTTGCTTGTCGCCTTTTGTTTTTGTTCTTTGATTACTTAGTCTATATCGCCAGCATTCTAGAAATTAAGATAGTATTAAGAGTACATAATGAATGAAACATAATAAGTAGCCACAACAGATTTGTGAGCCAATCTTTACCACAAAGTAATATTATAAATGAGGCATATGAGGCATAAATATTGAAAACAAAAAATACATACATATATTATATACAGGAGACAGTTTTATATATATATATATACCTACTCATCCGTAGAACAAAGATCTATATGTGCAAGACTACTTGTTCTCAGGACATAGTACATTTCGTTTGTTCTTCTTCGCTGTAAATGTCAGATCGACTGTTGGATTTTGTATTTTCGAAACGAAATAAGATATATAAATTGTCAAAACGCCTTTACACAGGCCTTAGTTTGAATAACGAAATTATTCTCGTAACGTACTTATTCTCTTTTCGTTATATAATCATATCGGACTTCGGATGAGTCGACATTATAAATTCCTCCGTGGCCGAAAGGTTACCATGCCGAACTGCCAACGCAGAGGTCCCAGGTTCGATTCCCGGGCTCGGAGAAATATTTGTATGGCCTAAATTTATTTCTCTCGTGAGTTTGAGTGTAATTTGTGATGGTTTATGTGTATATCCATGGCACCCGCGACACAGGGTTTCCCTAGGGCGGGGCTATTAAAAAAAACATACCGGCACACAAATATATAAGGAGTCAATTGCTTCCTGAGTAGTGAACTTAATTTTTTTTGAAATTCTTCCCTTTGGAGGCACCAGATGTGCGAGTATTTTAAGCTCAGCAGGAAGTGTTACTGTAACAATTGAAAATAATATTATACAATTTTATCTATCAAATTTAGCCACTGTAGCGAAACTGTATACCACTCAAACTGTAATCAGACAACGTAGGCCTCTAAACTAGATCTAAATATTTCGAAGAGAAGAAGGAAAGACATTGTGGTAAAAGTACCTCAAGTAAATACAACATTTGCAAACAGACAATTCAATCGATCGGCCCAATCGATCCAATCGATCGGACGGACGGACGGACGAACGCACGCACGCACGCACGGACACACACGCACACACTGACACACGGACGGACGGACGGACGGACGGACGGACGGATGGACGGACGGACGGACGGACGGACGGACGGACGGACGGACGGACAGACAGACAGACAGACGGACGGACGGACAGACGGACCGACGGACAGACGGACCGACGGACCGACGGACCGACGGACCGACGGACAGACGGACCGACGGACCGACGGACCGACGGACCGACGGACCGACGGACCGACGGACAGACAGACTAAGTTAAAAATGTTAAATGTGAATTTATAGCTATGGAAGAGCGGTACCTCCTGACACTGACGCTTGACAAGCTTAATAGAAGGTACCATCCACTGTTAATGTAAAGTTAATTGCATTACTGAAATAAACATTTTCTTATTATTATTATTATTATTATTTATTTTACTAATTCTATCTCAAGCTTTATAAAATTAAAAACGGACACTTACAATCATTATCTAAATTTTTCAGTGACTCAATAAGGTTCAAGATCCTTTCGTCTCTGTTCGGTTTAAAAGCAATAATTTTTTCGAAAAATATTTTCCAATTTAAATAAAAATTCAGCCCTTTTTCTGGATACAACAAGTCGAAGTCAATGTTTATCTGAAAACAAATATCATAGTTGTCAAAATGATTGGTCTGCGTCAAGATGGATAGCTCAGAAATAAAACGTAAAACATATGAAAACAGATTACATACCAATATGTCACTTCTTTGGTCTGATAATATTTTCCAGTCTTGTAGAAACTCATGAACGCTCTTGTGTTCACTTTCTTTTCGAACTTTAAATGTATCTTTCCATTTTTGTATTACTTCACCCCATGGTTCGGTGTTATTGTTGAGAAACAGTATATCTCTTAAATGTAAATCTAAAAAAAATCATGTTAGTGTTTCATTTTATCCTTATTGAAATGTTTTGTAAGACTTTCATTATTTACCTGCATTTCAATCAGCTGACAAATGCCTTTCCCACGTAAGTACCTGTTCCTATCTAATAATAATAATATTATAGATTTTTTTTAGATAGAGGACATAGTAACAAAACAACCTATTGAAAATAAACATTAGTTCAGCAAAATTCAATAGTTTAGAAGTCATGATTATTTATGTACATTCAATAGCACATCAGACCACACATTTTTATTTGAAAATCGCCTCCAGTGCAACGGAACAAGATACATCAATGTGAAACTTGATACGTTGCCATCCATACCTTTTCAATATTTTCTACTCTAGTCATTAAAACCACCACCAGTATCATAATCGTTATTCAAACAATTTTAACTTAATTTCTCAAAAGAAAACATTGGTTCAGCTCAGATTTACATGAAATTATTCTCAAACCTATCTATTTATCAGAAGTTCTCTATACATATGTTTTTAAACATTTTCTTTTTGTGTACATTATGACCATTAGAGAGTTAAAATTGTAGAAACTCATGAACATGAATTGACTAAAAAATAACGGAGCAATCTAAGAACAAACACAAAAATGGTTCATTGCATGCTAGCTACATGGTTACTACTACTTTAATACCAAATTTCAATTAATTTAGTGGAATAATTTTCAAAATAGACTAGTTTTAAACTTTTGACTAGAGTAGAAAATTTTCAAGAAAGTACATAAAAAAATCATAACTTAAGCTATTGATTTTTGGTAAACTAATGTTTATTTTAAATGGGTTGTTACTCCTATATGTAGAAAAATTTTTGGACCACTGTAAATGGGGCCCACTTACAGAGGATTTAGAGTTACATTTACCTGTATTAAATACCCAGAATGATGCGACTTAGAATACCTACTCTCAAATACCTAAATAGGTTCATAAATTGCTTTAACCCAGTGAAAGTCAGTGGGTTTAATTGCAAGCCCATTTAAAAAAAAAATTACCTTGCAAACCTTGAATATACTGTCTTTTAAACGGTGGAGCATTTTCTAGAGTGCCAGATTGTCGCTTGTGTGTGTGGTCTCCATATTTATACAGAAGGTTACGGACTTTGTCTACCAATTTTCCTCGTGCTACTGTAGAACGTCCATTAAATGAATTATTTTTTTTTATAGGTTTGGTAAAATAAGTGCCTATTGACTCCTTTGGAAACAGTGATATTATTTTCGCAGATATAATATTATATTCTTCATAGGTTATCCTGCTAAAAAAATTTGAGTGATGTATTATTGGGAAGTGTAAAAGTAATCAGAACACAGTATATACTTACTAATATATACAGTATATACTTACTAATTGACAATGTATGTGTATATATGTTTTATAATTATATCGGTCAACTGGTTTCTCTTGGTATTATTGAGAAAACCATATGTTTCATAGTATTTTAAAATACTATTGCCACCTGCTGACGTATGCAGTAGTGTCTCCAAATCAAAATGTGGAAATGTTTTTCTAGATACACTTTTGGTTGTTTCCAAGACGTCGACCACTTGTAGTTCATCTAATGAAACTAATAAACCGGCATCACTGGTGCTTGTCTCAAATTTACTGGAGGTGGGAGTAATAATGACTTGATCATCAGTTGATTCAGATACTGCATCTGTCGTTGCCTGTAAAGTTAAAAAAATAGACTATTTTGTGTATTTTATAGTCAAGCTATGTTAAGATAGTCAGTATGAAAGCACTTTCAACTAAATTTTTTAACTTAAACATACAGGTCCCTCACCTGTGCAGTAATAAGCTCCCCTATCTTTTCCTCTAAAGATAGTCTAGTCCCCATATGTGGGCATAATTCTTTCAAATTGTCTAGTTTTAATTTGGGGAAATGTTCAATCGTTATACCATTCTCTGCAAAAGTAGTCAAGTTTGTAAATAAAGTCAAATTAAATCAAATATCTTTTTATGTATTTTACTTCTAGTTTAATAACACACACACTCAATAACACATACACTGAATATACCCCGCACTAGGGAAACCCTGTGTCGCGGGTGCCATGAACACACACATAGACAACCACAAACTGCACCCAAACTAGGCCGTATAAATATTTCTCCCGGCCCAGGAATCGAACCTGGGACCTCTGCGTGGCAGTCCGGCAAGGTAACCGCCACAGAGGCAGTTAAAAGTTAGGGCTCAACTGTACATTACCATCGCACGAGTTGAGAGTTGAAATTAATATGGTGAATAGATTACATAGTTAGCAGTGTAATCCTAAAATATTAGCTTTAGGAAACTCGTAGTTTTGATAATAAAAATTATTGAAATATTCGAAAATATATGATAGGAAACAGGTTTTATAGGTTAGGAAAGCACAGCGTTTGGTTGTTGCAGTATTTTTTTTTAAATAACGCAAAAAAATAAACATTTTCCGCAGTATTGAATTAAACAGCACAAATTAATACGTAATTGTAAATTTAACATAGAAATTTACTATAATTAGTATGTAAGCTTTTATTTTTGAACAATTATTTTTTGTTGCAAAAAAATAACGAAACGCGTAAAGAACGCCATGTTGTTTGTTGTTGTTTACTGTTTGATGTATGCATCAATTAGGATTTTGCGTTTTTGCCTGGTTTTAGGTTTAAATTTAGTTTTTCATAGTGGAGCTGGGGGGGGTGGTTTGGGGGTGGGTTTTTTCCCGCTAGGGGTTCGGGGGGAGGGGTTTACCCCGCTCTTTGGTGCGAAAACATGATTTTTTGAGGTTATTTTTTTCGAATTTTCAAAAATTAATATCTCGAAAACTATTCAATTCCTAACTTTGAAACTTTGCACGAAGGGTTCCCTCCCCTCCCCCCTTCCCCCCCACCCCCCTCCCACCCCTCAAATCGTGCGATGGTAATGTACAGTCCTTCCAATTGGTCACTACAACTTGTGGTATATTCCACGATTCCAAAAGTTCTTTCAACGAATCCATTACTGTTTCCACAAACAACAAATAGAAAAATCAGTTCCTTTTTAAGATTTTATTCTCCTTGCCTTACCTTTTTAAGATTTCAAGTAAAACTAAGTAAGTATAGTTCACTTTGCTTCACATTTTAAATAATTGGCTATTGATTTATGGATGGCTTCTTCAATCGCAGATACCACGGCCACGGAGACGGAGCGCGCGCGTTTTCAACATGTCACGACATGATTGAAAATGACAAAGCAAAATGTTGCCATAAAAAATGTATTCTCGAATTTAGAATATTACTCTTATTAGCAAAATAACTTTTTTTTTGTCTAAGAAAATATTTTCTTAAAATACATCCAAGAAATTGGGGATTCATTTGAGATTATTTAGATTTGATGTAAGAGGAAAAAATTTCTTGATGTAAGTAATGTCCAATTAATTGATTAGAAATGAAATAAAATCTTGAAGTGAACGTATTTGTCTCAAAGTTAGAATAAAGTTAAGAGTAAAATTGTATTAGAAAAAGATAAGCAGTATCTTTGTAATGACAATATTTTATTACTTTAAATAAATATGTTTTCAGAATTAGCAAATATTTTGAGAAATTGCTCTTTCTTATTAGTAGAAATCCTTTTTTTCTGTGTTGATGTTGTCTCCAACTACGGACTAACGTTCTTATCCTGTTCATCACACCTTAACGCAGGTCAACCTTTTTGGGTAAGATTGGGACACAGCCAATTTGGAAAGAGAATTTGTGTACGAGAACGTTACACTCATTAAATGCCTATTCTCGAATCTTGAAGATCAGGTAGGTTGTATTAATCCGGAAATGCAGGACGCAGCAGAGGTTATGCTTTCCTTAATTGTCCCCGTAATGAATGACTGAAAGAGGAAAAAATAACACTACGAATTGACAGTATAAATAATAATACAAAAAATAATGAAGATTAGACAACATTTTCATTTATTTATTTCCTTAACAATAGTTATTGTGTTCGAAAAAATATACAATTAAAAACTTAAATCAAATACGACACCGTACATAATGCACACCAACAAGTTATTAATGAAAAATAATAATAATACAATAACAACAATGAATAAATAAATTCATCAACATGGTAAAATGATTTTTCCAACAAGAAACAACATCATCACATACGTTACTCAGCACTTGTGTTATGGAAATCGGAAACAACAACGGTACCACAAATGCGCTGACCCGAGACAATATAGAAAAGTTATTTTTTTTCCGGGACCTGGAACCTTAGAGATCGCGATCGCACCGTGACAACCAATATGCAAGCCACTCAACCACGGATGTCATCAAACGGAGGTAGCATGTATATCAAAATTATAAGGTACTGAATTCATATGCAAGAATTAAGAAATTCTGTGAGCGCATGTGCTCATCCGTCCCCGATCGGCACTAGGTGGAGAGGCTGCCGATGTACTTGGCGTAAGTTGGGAGTAACCGATAACATCGGACACTTCTACAGTGTCAAACCAAAACACTTTGACAGCATTTTGAGAAAAAGCTGCGTACGTACCGGATTTATCAGTTTTTTGTAATTTTTGAGGTTAAGGCGATTATCACTTTGCACCGCGCCCGTATGTGTTCCATCAGTTTTGTAGATATGTCACAGCCGGTCTTTACTATGTAATTCTTGCCAGAGGAGCTCCAATGGCTCCAATGGCAATGGCAATTGGTTGTCACGGTACGATCGCGATCTTTATGGTTCCAGGTCCCGGAAAAAACTGACTTTTCTATATTGTCTCGGGTCAGCGCATTTGTGGTACCGTTGTTGTTTCCGATTTCCATAACACAAGTGCTTTAGTTACTTCTTTAGAATCAGAGCAACGTATGTGATGATGTAGTTTCTTGTTGGAAAAATCATTTTACCATGTTGATGAATTTGTTGTAGTAGGCACTTGACATTAATTTGTATTTAAACGTGATAACGACATCTAATTTTACACTGTACTTTTTTTTTAATTTATAATATACTTACTTATTTATTTATTATAGTATTATTATTATTATTATTCATAATAACTTGTTGTTGCGTATTATGTTCGGTGTCGTATATGGTTTAAGTTTCTCAATTATATATTTTTTTCGAACACAATAACTATTGTTAAGGAAATAAATAAATGAAAATGTTGTCTAATCTTCATAATTTTTTAAGTGTTTTTTCCTTTTTCAGTCATTGCGGGAACAATTAAGGAAAACATAGCTCCTCTGCTGTGTCCTACATTTCCGGGTTAATACAACCTACCCGATCTTCAAGATTCGAGAGCAGGCATTTAATGTGTATAACGTTCTCGTACACAAATTCACTTTCCGAATTGGCTGTGTCCCTATCTGACCCAAAAAGGTCCACCTACGTTAAGGTGTGCGGGCACTCACAGGCACCTAACTTAAGTACCTAAATACTTGAAAACATTTCCACTATATCTGGTAGAGTCGTAGCCTTACAATCTGAACAGATTGTTACATTGTGAAAGAGTGACAGAATGTTAAAAGTTGTATCATTACAGGTTGCGTAACGGTTTTTCACCCTCACCGCTGTAATTCTCGAATTTGAACTGTTACATTACAAGCGAATTAGCAGTGAAGGAGCGCCCTGAGGTGCATTATCTAGAAACTGTCATTATGTGTATTAACACAAATATGCAGAACACCACCCAAATAATGTAATAATTCGTGAAGTTCAAATTAATGTACTACCCTATTCCTTACTAATAAATTTTATATTTCACCTTAATTTCGGTAATGCGTCGGTAAGTATGTTAATTATATTCGTATGTAAATCGAGCGGGAATTTTAGTTGTAAATATTTATGATTAGGCTTTTTGATTATACTTTAATTATCGGAACTTGCCGGTTACTGTTACGACTTCTCGATGTTTTATTATGAATGTAAATGCGTATTTAATTAAGTCCAAACCTTTAGAGGCTTCAAGTAAAGCTTCCACAAATTCGTGTCACTTCTACAAATTCACGCATGTTGGATGGAGCAATTAATGCAAGTAGCAAATGTTGTTTGTTTTATTGAGAGCAATGGGTACCTTATAAAATGTTCCTTTCTACTTCTATGAAGCAATAAAGGCGTAAGCAGTACGTTACGCACGCCACTTCACACGGTGTAAAGTAAGCTGACTTGGGAGACTAAGTTGTTGTATCATTTGGAGATTTTTAAATCGCCTTCTCAGGTGCCTGTGGCCGTACATGTTTTTTTTGTAATATACTGCACCGGGTACGTTTTCTTCTAGATCTATAGCCTACCTAACGAGATAGTGAATCGAACTAGGAGATAAATTAAAATAATTATATTATGTAAAAAAAAAACGTTAAAAAATTTTAATTGTGAATTTGGAAAAAATATAAAAATATATATTTTTGAGAGTAACTGTACATGAATTTCTCAAGGCCGTAGTTGTCTGGCCTAAAGATTAAACAATAACAAAGACAATCGTGTTTGTTATTGTTTGCGCTGCTGATTTCGGTGTTTATTTATTGAAAACATACCGTAAGTAGCGTTTTTTAAGTTTACCCTGAATATAAATGTTTATAAAGTAAGTAAGAGTAATTTCATGGTAAACGTTAGAACCACTCAAACGGAATATTATCATATTTATACAAGTACACCAAAAATTTCATTAGTGCTTTTTAAGTGCAGGATTTGCGGTGTACATTTTATTTGAGATGTTTTTGTTGGTAGTACGGAGGGTATTTATTTAGCAATGCAGAATAATAATTTTTATTTATAAAAACTGTATTTAAACTGAATGCTTTTCTAATTTGCGAAACCAAATTGCCGCCATTTTGCGGTAGGAAGAGCGCATCGCGTGAGCGGTTAGGTGCTAGGCGTTTGATAGCTTTGCGCACGTCAATCTCGTTAATTCCATCAACACTAATATGTCTCTGGAAAGTGGCAAGATGTGGAAAAGTAGCAGCACCATCACAAGCTTTTTCGACACAGAGATTTGGTAGAGTAAGGAGGAAGACACTTTGAAAAAATTGAGCAAATGAGTGAACTATCTCCTGTGGGCCCGTGGTACCAAATGTAGCTGGCT